ATGTAGATTGGTAATTCGCGTATTCGTTAGTGTGAGGCATTTCTGTACTTTTAGGTTTTGAAATGTATTCCGTATATTGGTAGTCAATATCCCTGCTCTATGATAAATTTGGTTGTGATTACTATACATATGTAAATACATTCGTTGTCACGTTATATGCACGTCAACACACTGACCAGATTCGTTTTTATAGGGCAAACCAGTATGTGCATCTATTTCGCGCTTTCGTTGGATTGTCGTAGTATAAATCGTTAGTCGCATCTCTTAGCAGTGCTATTTCTAACATCCACTCTTATGGTCAGGATCTCTAAACGTCAAGATGCTGCAATTTCACGAAAATACATAGCTAGAAAATTTATATTTTACTTAAAATTCATACAATTACTCGACGATAATGCATATTACGTAAATGGATAATAATAAGACTGTTAGTTATGGTCAACGCCTCGTGATAAGCAGTTAAAATCAATGTTCTTAATATAACAGTTCAAAAGTTCATAGTTCGAAATCGACACGCGTGAAAATAACTTAGGTGAGGAAATCTGGGTATGTTAGTTCCTCTTTGTTGATACTGGTAACAGTTTCATTGATGCAACACTGGTGTTCAAACACTTGAAGTGAAAGGGTCAAATGGTACTACTCATTAGTTAGTCTTACTTTGATACGAGATTTGAGGCTACTCATACTTGTATGCTATGTACTTCAAACACTGTGCTCTCAGCTAGCATAGTCGACTCTCGATTTAATCCTGTACGGAATAATAGTCGCTCCATGCATAGAGAGTTCGCACTGCACAAAACACACACCTTCCCCGGGGCTTGGTCTCACACAATGCCTGACATAATAGCAATAATTGTTCAAAGTCAGAAACTGTATTCAAAACTAAACTGTTCTCACGAGGATAATTTAGATAATTTCATAATATTATCATGATTTATATTTCAGTCAGTTTGACAGTGGTTGCCATGACATATACTGATAAAGGTTAATGACAATACCAGATGGCGAGCTGGTCGAAATCAACCTAAAACATCTTATGACTCTGCAGTTTTTAAGATACAATATAGTAGCTGTAATCCTAAACCAATTTTGTTTGCGATTTTAACTAAGGTGGTATCTTTGTGGAATGTTAGTGCGAGACTATTACCCCATCAATATTAGTTAGTGTTGACAATATATAGAAGTGTTTTTTTCTAGACAGCTTGACGAGTAATTAATTGATTATGATGTGTAAAACTTTCATGTGATTGGTTGTTTGTTTGAAGGCAAGGCCTTGGAGTCTCTTATACTGATTGTAATTGGTTAAAGAATGACAAGAAATAAAGAGTGATTTAATGCTGTCTCGGGTGAAAACCAGGGACTTGGCAGAGAATCGTTTGGGAACATGAACGAAGCTTGTGTGTGTTTTTGTCAGCCTAGCGTGGAAACGACCGAATCCCGGTTACCTAAGTGAAAGGTTTTTAACCATCAAAAATACCTATCACAATATGTTAGGGGCATTTTTAAATATTTGTATCAACTAGGTTTATTATTTTCGTTAAACGTTCAAAATAGAATGTATTAAATGAACGAGCATGCATGAAATAATAAAGTGTCCGATATCAACAATGATTAAAACATGATTGTTTGATGAATGTTTGACTATCTGAAGCCCTGGTCCGTTGTTTTGATTAATTGTCACGTAGGCGTGTATGTAACTTTATTGCGTCTACAACCCGGATGGAGTTAGACAAGCACATATGTCAGCAGGTTGACACAGGAATATGTCTACCTGTAATGCTTCACCTCGGTCGACAATGAGCTCTTCAGGTCGATAAACAGTATGACCAAATCTGTTGGGTGAACATTTGTATAATGTTACTTTCTGTCGCACCAATGACGAAAGTATGAAAAAGAAATATACTTTTCCAGTTTACCATTTGTATTTCTGCAACTTCAATTTATAAATTAACGAACACCACAGTGTACAGTGATCAATGTCTCCGTATATGTATTTCAACTCATTCAGTTCTAGTGTTATTTAATGCCACTATTGTGAATGAGTATTCATGTGAAATTTTGGAACGTGATGTTCATAATATGAGTAACAATTGTGAAATTCTTCCGGTCAACTTGACATTCGGCTTGACATTCCATGCTGAGTCATAATCACAACAATATCTGAATTGAAATATTTACTTATTAGTAACAGTTCTCATTCATGTGACCACAAAATTATTCTGCAAATATACTTTCTTTAATTAGATGTTGTCTTGCTTCAGTCGTGCACGAGTTATATCATACATTACACTACTCAGACCTCTAACTCATACCTATAAGATGAGCACTTTTCACAGTGTATTTCTATAGCTATTTAAACTACACAAGTTATTGTAAATGTATGAAGCCGTTTAGTCGTCTATCAGAATTGTCGTAGTATATAGTCTCAAACACAATTAATATTTGACGAGAAGGTATGTGTATCCTCAATACGATTCATTCGTGACTTTGGTTCAGCTGACCGAATATGAACAATGCTAGTGGCAGGCAAACTTTACGCGGACAGCGACAACATTAGTTATAGTAGTTTCTAATATTTTTCTAAACATGATTCCTGGGCTGATTTTGTTCAATCAAACGCCTTGCACCACAATATGTTACGTGCACAATAATTAAATATTTTACACACGATTTTATCACACGATTTAATGTCTCGATGATGGTTTGACAATCTTTTAGGAATTTCGTCCCAATGACGGTTTGACAAATAATTTGTAGCACGGCTATGGAGATGTAGGATACTATAACTGGGAGAAGCACATGTAGTTGGTCAGGAACTGGTAACAAACTTCTCAAAATGTTAACTGTGACAGGCAGCAGGGAGAAGTGATCTCTTTGTTTTATGCCATATGACAAGTTAATTTATTCATGAAGGTTTTATTTTCAGATGGGTTAGTCTACAGTCCTTCCACAAGGACTGTGGTCTATAGAGAGACATTGGTCACACCCATTAAAGTGTCAAACACAGCGCCATCTCTGGCCAGAATAATTAAACTTAATTAACAAACTGGCAAAATGTACGCTCCAACAAAGTTAAGTTGCCGAGAAATGACACTGTGACTGCTCCAACCGGGTAACAGTGTTTAAATAACGCGTGGATACACTGCTAGTGTTTTAGTGCCGGTTATTGTGAATTTGTAACATATATGTGACATTTAAAGCTTCAGAGTAAACAAAACATTTTGCTAATAAGTGTGATGATGATCAGAGCGCATTGTTTTCGTTCGTGCACGAACTTTAGTGTAGAGACAATGAGAAATGAGAAGAAAAAACATTTCTAAAAGGTCGCTAATTGTTGATCTTTGGTCTGACTCTATCTTGTATTGCAATTGAAGTGGAATTACAGTGGGCACAAATACAGGGTTGAGGGGCCCCGACAACTTGGCTTATAACAATGACCCTATGACATTTATTAACACAGCATGTAGTAATTCACCAAACCTGGTAGATGAGCAATGAACGTATAAATCTCATTTTGTTTTAGCAAGCATTTTAATAGTTTCAATATCAAATAAAGTATATATAATATATGACTATTTTTCAAAGCATTACATTTTAGGGCCATCCTCTGTACATTATCACAATTTTCCAGCTCATTGCTCGCAATATTACCAAAAGTGTCTTAATTGAGAGAACACATATAAGTTTTGAGCCACAACCTCTTCCACTTATACTAACTGTGTTTAACACTGAATAGATAACCAATACAAGCAACATGCAACAGTGCTGATATAACATTTGTTGAATTCCAGGATGCAGGTGTATTTATTGTATTGCATAACAGTGTATCCATGTGTCCACCATGTTATGGGGGCAAAACTGAACAATAAGGTAAATGAGTATTTTTAAATGTAACAATGGCATTTAAATACTGAACAGTCAAATGCACGAACACGATATTTTTATTAGTAAGCGTCAAAAAGAACAAATCAAAGAAAGTAAAATCTCGCCACTATACCCATCGATAATAAGAGCATCCTAATACCGTGTAATTATTATTGTGTGACATCTTGTTGCATACTTAGTATGAAATGTGAAACTTTTTAGAATTTTTGAAAAATACTTTTTCTCACAGGAGTCAGTGCAAAAACGTGCAGGTGAGTAGGCCTTTTAGTGTCCATTTATTAATGTTTTAAAACCATTCTCCTGAGTATTGCTTGTTTCTCAATGTTTTCAATGAGTTTGTAAATTATTAATGTATTTTACTACTTCAGAGTGTAAACATATGGCATGTTTACAAAGATTGAGTTTCTCTGGAATAAGACATATATGTCCCTCCATGTGCATGACCATCCAATAGATAGCATGTTTTTAACTAATAGAAGTTGTAGAAATGTAAGTTTCACAATTTTAAGTGTGTTAAGGAACGTGTTTAAAAAACGCTCACAATGACTGAATCCACTCTTCTTCTCCAATTGATAAAGACATTATTGTCTGTTTAAAAGTGGGATTGTCACAACGATTTCATTTATTTGAATCGTACAAGAAGGGAATAGACCTCATTTAATTGCCATTGTTATATTAAACCCTAAACTTGTTTTGTTTACTTAATAGAACGGGACAGTCTGTTATTTTACAAAGACACACAATTTCACGTGAGAATTACTAAACCTGTGCCAAAACTAACTGAAGTCACTTTTTGTCTATGGATGAGCTCGACTAGCTCCAATGATGGTACCCTGGTATCTTATGCAGTACATGGCACCGATAACGAGATGATTTTATACGACTAAGGTTATTTGAAATTACTCATCAATGGTGTTTATAGAGAGACAACTGGCGTTGCAGTCAATGATGGTGTGTGCCATTTCATCTGCTTCACTTGGACATCAGTGACAGGTCGCTGGCAGATATTCGTAGATGGAATGTTAGTTGGATATGGTACAGTTTCAAAAGGAACACCGATTCAAGGTGACGGTGTTCTCGTACTGGGACAAGATCAAGACTTCGTTGGTGGGGGTTTTCACCCTCATCAGGCGTTTGTTGGCAAAATGACGAAATTCAACCTGTGGAATCGTGTGCTTACAAACCAAGAAATTATTCAAAAGCTTGACTATGGCAATATTTATTCATGGGACTTTTCAACCCTTTCGATGCAAGGAACTGAAGAAATTATAAATGTGGATATTTGTAGTAAGTATTATTGAAACAAATAATATAACTAAAAATAAATACTATACTACGCTACATGCTACCATACGTCGAGGATGATTAAATTAGTGTACATAATGTCGCCAATTGACACAAATAACATTCTCAGATTGGTAGACTATTTGTTGATAGACCTGAGTTCTAATCCTACCTGTGGTTGAATATCAAAACGTGCTGGCCGCCACCCTGGGTGAGTCTCCTACAGACTCATTGGGAAAGACTGGTTAATTTTAAATTCTGCAGGAGCTTGTTTTCAACTGGGCCTGGTTATTACAATAAGTTGCCATCTGATGGAAGAACGGCCGCACAACCCTGCCATGTAGTTCCAAACATGAATGTGGTTTCTGTAACTATATATATGAGCTTTTTTAATTTTAATCCAATGGAATATTGTAAATATATAAAAATATATTTAAAAAAACGTGATTATTAGATTTTTGATGTAAATTGTCACCTAATAAAAGTTAACGTTCACACTGACAAAGTTCATAAACAGATCTTCTTTCAACCTTTCAACAGCTGGCGCTGTTACATGTGATCCCCATTTCACCACATTGGATGGGCGTCATTACAGTCACCAAGGCGTCTGCTGGTACACCCTGGTGAAAGACAGCTCCAATCCCAAGCCAAATTTCGAAATCATTGCTAAGTTTGAACCAAGAAAGGATCATCCTAAAGGAGAAATAAGAACCCGAGTGGTAGCTCTGAATATAACTGTAGGCGATGACCATGCTGAAGTGGACCGACTTGACGTAGTTTCTGTAAGTAACCTGGAACAATTCAAAGCAACATTTGTTTTGCTAACTTTGTAACTACCAAATTGGAATGATTAATAAATATATAATTAAAAATTATTGCTATATTAATTACACCAGTGTCTACTTTATTATAGAAACATGCAAAGGGAGCACTGTCCAAGATACATATCATTCAATCTGATGAAAATGTCTTACTAAGTTTCACACTCAAAGATACTACTTTCAAGATTGATTGGACATTACGAAGACACATATTCAGCATTGATATATCTGGTCTTGATTATCAAGATAAGCTTCGTGGATTATTGGGTAATTACAATGGTGATAGCCATGATGACTTTCAGAAACCTGACGGTACTATGGCTAGTGACGCTGTTGAATTCGGTGAGAGTTGGAAAGTGCCAGGAATTGAGTGAGTATAAACAGTTCTGTATTGCGCAATAACATATATTCTCATTTCAGAATATTCCAGATTCATAAACTAGTTTTCCATTAACAATCTTAATTATTATAAATCAATAATATATTTAATTAAGTTTAAAATGGAGCAAACTTCATATCTTGAATTGTATGCACTTCAGGTTATAAATGTCGTGCTCAGTTTTTGACAAGCCTTCTGAAAAAATATTATCATTTTAATAGATTGCGTTATTAATGAAAACTACTTGCTACAATTATGTTACAGAAACGGTCTATTTTACACCTTTTTTTTACTATGACCCAGGTTCAGTATCTCGAGAAAACATATAATAAAATAACAAGATATTGAGAGCTTGTGAAAATTAGCATATTTGGTGGGAGATAATAACCAAGCGTGGTGCGCGTCCTATATTTTGTATTCAAATTCAAAGGCTAAAATACACTTGATAGAACATAGGCATAGATGAGCGAAGCGCATTTCTAAAATATTTCAACGAACTAGCGGTAATACCAACCACTATTTCCGCACATAAACGAGGCAAGAAAAGTAAAAAAATACAACGTCTTTGAACGCAATACTGTATTGAACGCGCATGTTCTTCAAGGAAAGTTTTCTTGCTAAATGTGCAATGTATTATTTAAGCAATAACCCCCGCCGAAGGCGGGTATACCACGAGATATTGCACAATTCACGACATATATGCACGAGCCGCAGGCGAGTGCATATATGGAGTGAATTGTGCAATATCAGTGGTATACCCAACTTCGGCGGGGGTTATTGCT